TTGCTTTTTTCTTATTGGCCTGCGAAAAGTTATTTTTGTAACAGGAGTGTCATAATAAATGGAAGAGAAGAGTGAAAGAAAATTGGGGATTTGCATACTTCCCCAGTGAATATTTTCAACTATTTGACACAGTACGATTTAACAACAATAATGGATGAGCATGACATCATAAAACATGTATAATTTCATTGCCTTTCTGTGTAGTAACCCCAATTAACTCTTGATGAGTCAGTTTTTGCTTTTATAATGAAGGATATAAATTAATTGCTATTTCTTTGTTTTTCCAAAATATTTTGAAGGAATGATTAAAATTTGCAATCTGCTTCCAGTGGAACAGCTTGCAGTGGAGTACTGTCAAAGTTTTGCATGCTGGCATCAGAAAATTGTGCATTAATGAGCATGATGTGAAACCGTAGAAACCAGCTTGGTATCCACCTGATCCTTCTTGTCCATATCGCATTGAATATTCTCACACCAGGCATTATACACAATAAAATTTAATCTTTATTTCAGGACCAAATATGCATATTACTCCTTGATAGTCGGTCTCTGTTCTTCCACTACCCTTCTTCAAAAACTTCTTAGGGTTGCCATATTTAGCAGCAGCAATGCAGTTGCAAAATGCGCTGTTTATTGCTAGTTTTCCTTTGATGGCAACTGAAAGGAACAGCATCAGATTATGAAATATTTCAGAGGATCTGTGCTGTCGATTTCTTCTCCCCTCTTAATAACACAATTAAGATATAAAATTAGAAGAGATTAAAATGCGGTTCATCAGATTGATTGTTTCTTTCAATACAGGCATACAATTACATAGAATTTTTACCAGATAGTTCAATTTTATACCCTAAGGCCATTCACGGGCGGGAATTAAGTCAATTAGGATGCAATTTCCTTTCAATTAGAATGCCTTTTCTATATTCTCAATTTGCTTTCAATTAGGATGCCCTTTCTATATTTTGCCTAATGGCAAAAATACAGAAAAGGCAAAGTTAAGGGTTAGATTCATCAATTCTAATGAGAATGTGCTAGCGAAGTAAAGCACAGCAGTTTTACATAATTTCTGAGTAAGCTATTCATACAAATTGAAATAATTCTTGCATTTAAACCTGTATTCCAAATTAAGATTTTACTTGAAATTAATGTAGATAATTACTGAAAGAATTAGATTTTTTGTAGCCTGGTTTACGTAAGATGAGATCACTCGGGGGTACGTGATGCAAATCAGGATGTTGTACCATGAAAACATAGTAAATTCTTAAATTAATGTCTTTTTACAAATTTATTGTCTTTATTTATCAGCTTTTTTACAAAATTTTAAACGACATTAAAATGTTTATACCTTCAAAACAAAAAATTCTTAGAACTAACATTTGTCAACATTTTTTATGTGCATACTGTGTGTTGTCGCCAATAAAGTCTGCTTGGGGAGATTTGCGCCGGCGAAATGGAAAAGTACCGGTAATAATGCATATATATAAAAATGAAATATTAATAAATATAAACAAATTTTTAAAAAATTGTAAGAAACAAGTTTCTTTGGGAAGTGAATCTGTTTTCCTGATCTTGTGACAGTTTGTGTCTTATAGTTCATTAGATCAGATTTATTGTGCTGAACTGTCTTTAAGTCTCTGTTTGTTTCAGTTCAGGCAAATCAGAATCTAAAAGCAAATAGGCTGGTTTTACATGGTCTGTAGACACAGTAGATTTAAGACCGTTTATTTCAATTGTGAAAGTTTTGTCCATTCTGGTAAGAACCTTGTGTGGATCTGAGTATGGCTGGCACAGTGGTGGCTTTACTCAATCCACACGTATGTATGTATACATGATTTTAAGTTAGACCTTACGAAATACTTACCTTCATAATGTGCAGATGTCGTTACTGGGTTTAATTATTGCATTCTATGCCAGAGAATAGAGATGAATTCAGTATCGCATGGAGATAATCTTAAATGGCGCTGTCATATTATCAGGCAGCCTGAAAGTTGTGCCATATACCAGGTCTGCAGATGTCTGCAGTTCCTCATGAATGACTGCCCGATTACCAAGCAGAACAATTGGGAGTGTTTCAGTTCAGTTATTGGTCTAGTGAGCTTTGAGAGAGTATTTTAAATGTGAATGAAATTGTTCAACAGTGTCATTTGACACTGAATGATAGGCTGTTGTTGTGATTCTGTACTCAAAATGCATGTAAACTCTGCAATCATTGTGGATCTCATTTGAAAACTTTGGTCTGTTGTTATGACCGAGGGGCAGCCAAAGCAAGATATCCATGAGTTGAAAATACCTCTACAAATAGTTTCTGTTCTCATATCGGGGATAGGTATGGCTTCAGGCCATTTTGAAAATCTCCATTAGAGTCAAAAGTACATGTTGCGTTCAGATGACCGTAATGAGCCAAAAATGTTCGTGTGGATTTATGAGAAACATGCATCAGAAAGAGAGAATGAACCCAGTGGGTACTTTAGTGTGTCTGGTTATTTTTTATCTCTGGCAGGATTCACAGGATTTTACCCAATTTTTGATATGAAGTTTCATCTCGGGTCATACCTAACAAGAACAGATTAGTTTTGTAGTAGGTGCAATTCCTGGATGTGATATACTATTATGCAGATGACTAAAGATGAGTTGCAAAAAGAAGTGTGAACAAATGGGTGAAGAACGTTTGTCGAGATGTCACAAACAATAGATTCAAGCTGTGTCAATACATCAGAGTATTGACAAATTTGAATTCCCAATTTCAAAGCTGATATATTGTTTTTAGAAGGTTTTTATACCTCCGGATTATGCTGTTGAGCTTCAGAAAATTTATTAAAACCCAAAAAAGAAGATTCTGTTATGGAATCAATTTTGATTCTCGAAAGAGTGTCAGCAACGATGTTTTCAGAATTTTGGATGTGCCTAACGTCAGTAGAATGCTGAGAAATAAAATTGAAATGGTGTAATTGCCAAGGTGAATATTTGCGGGGATTCTGCTTCAAAGTGTATATTAATGGCTTCTGATCCGTATAAATAATAATAATAATAATAAAAAATGCTCTCCAATTTGCCAGTTTGCTCCTGTGTCAGAGCTTCTTAAATTGTAGAATAAGTTGAAAATAATTCCCTATCATATGCAGACCATTTCCATTGATTTTTATTGAGTTTCATTGAAAAAAATGCTATAGGTTTCCATGTTTGTTGAGACAACTGCATAAGAGTGGTGCCTATTGTGACTTCAAGATCCATGATACACTGGTAGCGTAATAGTTTATTTTGGACACATAAGCAAATTACAGCTTGAAGAATTTTTTTTCCTTTCTTGAGGTACATTAATATTTTCAATATTTTACTCACAAAATATTTTATTTGGAGTTAAAAATAGAAAACAACAAACTGTTTGATTTTAAACACATTTTAATGCAAGTTTGATTTGCTGAAATGTATTCTAAACCTGCTTCCATAACCTTGCCAATACAGTCGTGGTCACCAAAATCTGATGTGCCAGATGTTGGGCCATCTGGAAAGTTATGCTGTCTTTTGATGATAAATATGAATGAAGCAATACAAAAGCATCAAATTTCATTGAATCGTATGAGCTTAATTTTTCCTATGCCTTTTTGCCATTTCTTTCCTGCTGGAAATTCTTTTTTAAAAAGTAATTAGGTTTATTTATGAAGAACTTACTGATTTTATCAGTCTCCAAAGAAATTCTGGGAATTTTGAAGGCCTGAAGAGATAGAAATCTGTGGGGGCAACTATGAAACATCCTAGCAATACCCCCTAATAGTTTTTGACATTGACTAAAATGTGGGACTGAGCATTTTAAGATGGAAGACATCACCACACTGTTGGTCAGCTCCTGATTCTTTCCATCAATTTCTGCTTTCACCTGCTATTTGGGAACAATATTTTTCTGAGTTTATTGCATAATTTGGTGGCAGTAATATCCCATGATATTTTCTTCTCAGGTTATGTTATAGTATCCAGGTGTTAATCCCCAGTTATGAGCCTTTTAAAAAAATAGTTAAAAAAAATGAAAAAATCATTCAGCTTCTTAATTTTTTTTTTTCCAGGAAAGAATAAATGCCAAACCTTTTTCTTTTTCCAATGGCAGATGGTGAACAGTTACAGTGTAACCCAGTCCATTAGTCTATACAAGGCCAGATGTGGTGGTCTCTATTATGGAGGCACCTAATAGGTGAGCCACCATCGCCTCCTATGAGGGGACGAACAGGTACAACCATGCCTTCTCCGGGATTCAAACCCAGGCCCTTTGGTATCGCAGCCAGCTTCCCTAACCACTATACCGACTGGGTACTTTGAATACCTGAAGCCAAACCTTGAGCAAGCATTTTCTGGTCTGCTGAAATATGGGGTAGCTATGAATATTGCAGCCAATCTTTTTCAAATTATCATATATTGTTCTTTTTGAAATATTTAGTTTTTTTGGTAGTTCCTGTACAGTATAACAGATTTTCAATGATAGGTTCTTGTTTACTGAGGATAGCTGCTCAGAGTTGGCATAATCTTCGAGGCTGAAATTACTGTGCTGAAACTTCTCAAACCACCTTTGAACTGTGTCATCAAATAAAAGAGGATAATCTAATAAAAATGAAGTTTGGGTTCTCTATTCTTAGCACTGCCCTGAAGCGAATATTTTTGTTCCCTCAGTCCTCACATAGTTCTGAAACAGCCAGGATTTTCCTTCAAAAGTTTGTGGAAGAATAAATTCCATTTAATCAGTGATTTCTTATGTGATAAGAACGAATTTTTTTTTTTTTTTTTTTTTTTTTTTTAAATTCCAGTTTTAATATTGAATACAAACTTTTCACATAAGATTTTAGTTTAAAAATTTGAACTTTTTAATTGTATTAAAAAGAAGTGCATTGCGTTAGTGACAGTGCAGGAGAATGAATGAAGCATTCTTAGTTATTTCTAATAACTCTTTGAAAAGTTATAACTCTTAAAAGGGTATAATTATTTTTTATTTGCAAGGAAGATTATTATTTTGTGCTAATTTAGAATAATACTTTATAGGAACATTGTGCTGGAGAAATCAGTCATAAGCCAAAGGATGAGGGAAATACTGCAGAAGATAATGTGGATCAAAAGGTTAGTTAGTATTTAATTCTATTTATTAAAGATCTGTTTGCTAAGTAAATATTTTTATTATATTTAAGATTTTGTATATCCCATACAAATATATGGCTCGCTGTTCAAATCGCAGCAACCTGAAAGAAGCTGCAGATTAACGTGAACTTTATGTATCAGAGCATAGAAAAGCATGAAAATGATTAGCAGTCCAGTGCATGTTCAAGATATGGGTGTTTGTAATGTTGCTTAGAATCAGTGTAAAAGAGAAGAGAGTGTACGTTTTCTACATGGAAATTCATTTCTCTTTGTTTGATTAGAAGCATTAGAAGCATAAAGTAAGTAGTAAGTATGTATAATACAGAATGAACGAAATCATGTGTTTAAATCTGATAGTGAGAGAATTATAGCATAGTTCGATTATGGATTATCATATTGCTAAATTGTTCGTCACATTGGAGCACAAACGCACAAATATATATGGGTGCAGGAATGGTAAAACTGGAAAGACAGTCTGACAAGGATCTTGATACGCTAATACTCAAGAGGATAGTTATCTTATGCAAATGGCCATATAACCAAATTATGAACCGTAGCACCGGAAATATCAGATGTGGCTGGCAGAAAGTCTGCATGTATATTGAGATTGCTCTAAGGATCACAGAATCAGCAATTCCTTTAGCCTTCTTTTATTTGTATAGTAGAGGTGTTTACGGCTACAAAGGTGTGTTAAATCATACAAATGAACGGCAAGACATTGCCATCTCAGGCAAATTTTGCTTTTGCAGTTAGTATCATTAGAAACGTACATTACTATGGAGAAATTGCCTTATGCTCTGTCATATATTGGAATGTTGCCTGTTATGCTCAACTTCTAGCCCAGCATTGGGAGTTAGACTTTCGATACAAGTTCCAGTCCTGTCTGATACACTTATGTGGCAACTTGGCCAAACAGACATTTTTAAGGCCATTAATTGTCCCTTATTTTCAGGGTGCTTTCTAGAGCCACCTATCAATAGAATGATGTATGGCCACATGGTCATGTTTAATATCCAACACTTCCATGATGCACAACACACTGCAGTTTTCCCTTGGGCAATGTGTCCAATAGATCTTTTCCCCACATAAATACATTTGGTGTATAGTTTTACATGTACTGGCTTGACACGGATTACTAGCAATTCCAACCGATGAACTTTCAAAACAAATTACATTTGTATGGACTGCAGTCTCAAAATAATAGTTTTCAATTTTTGTCAATGTTGTTATTTGGGAGCTGGTTATGTACAGTATTTATTGGTCATAGTGCATTTTGTTCCTTCAGTGTGTCTGAAATTTTAGTGATTTTGTCTATACGGAATATCTAAAATAAGCTTAGTTCTGTTACCTTTTCTGTTTGGTATTTTTGAAACATTAGTGGCCGGCAATTCACATAGCAAGTGATTAAGCCTGGCTTGGTATCTAAATGGCAATTTTGTATGTATGAAAGAATAGAAATTGTTTTAAATTTAAAACCTTTGTAGAAATTTAGGTGTCCGTAACTTCCACAGGTATTGTATCTGCATTAGCCTGAAGGCCAGAAGACTGCATTTTCTAAATAGTATAAATTGAAGTCTGAAATGCATTATTTACAAAGCTGAAGTCTCCTCCCCACCTTTTTACGAGGGCCATCCAGGAAGTAGATTACGTTTCCGTCTGTGTCCGCTAGGGGCGGGGCTAGCGCGGCCATCTTGGGGTCAGAGCGTTGCGCAGCTCAGTCTGCATCTAGCCGTGCTAGTGAGAGGTTCGTGCTGTGCTCCGTTCAGATACTGTGACGGTTTGAAATGTCTGCGTTAATTGAAAATCCCGCGAGCTGCGAGGTGCGCTCAGTAATAAGGTTTGACTGAAAAAACTGTAAACCGATAGAAATCTATCGGCAGCTTCGTGAAGTGTATGGGGACAAACATTATCACTGAAGGTGGAGTGCGTCAGTGGGTCATAAGATTTCAAAATAGCCGAACCAATGTTCACGACGAAGATCGAAGTGGGAGAACCCAGCATAGTGACCGCCCGAACTTCTCGAAAAAAGTCGATTTGCTAAAGTCGTGAAAATCGAAATTCACAATAACGGAACTTTCTTTGAGTTTTCCACAAATTTCGCGAAGTTTGTTGCACGAAAATCATCAGCGAAAAGCTTGGTTACCACAAGTTTTGTGCAGATGGATTCCAAAAGTCTTGACCAGAGGACCACAAAAATCAGCGAATGGCTGCAAGCGTTGAACTTTTTGGACGCTTACCATAAGGATGGTGACTCTTTACTCGATCGCATCGTTACTGGTGACGAAAAATGGGTGAAACATGTGAACTGTGAAACGAAATTGCAATCAATGCAGTGGGGGCACACAAAGTTCTCCCCAAAAACCCAAGAAATGCATGCAAACAATGTCGGCAAGGAAGAGATGATGGCGACTGTTTTTTGGGACAGAAAAGGGGTGTAATTTTGGTGGACTTCCTGGAAAGAGGCAACTACAATAAACTCTCAAAGGTATTGCCAAACTCTCCAAAAACTCAGAAAGAGCAATTCAAAACAAGCGCAGAGGAATGTTGAGCTCTAAGATTGTTTGATTCACGACAACGCCCGGCCCCACACGGCAAATGTCACTCGTAAAGTTCTTGAATCTTTTAAGTGGGAGTTGTTTCCTCATCCGCCGTACAGTCCCGACCTGGCACCGAGCGACTTCCACCTATTCCCAGCAATGAAGAAGTGGCTGGCTATGCAGCGTTTTGATGACGACGCACAGCTGCAAGAAGAGGTAACGAAGTGGTTGAAGGCGCAGGCGGCTGAATTTTTCGACGAAGGAATTTCCAAGCTCGTACATCGCTACGATATAAATGCCTTAATTTGTATGGTGACTATGTAGAAAAGTAGTATTTGAGTGTGGCTTTCATCTGTATATAATAAAATTTGTTTCCTATACTTTGTTTATTTTTTTATTCCAAAACGTAATCTACTTTCTGGATAGCCCTCGTACTTCCGTGCAAGAAAATAAATGCTTTGTCAAGTAAGTAAAAGGATTCGAAGTGCTATAACGAAAAGTGTGGTAATAAAGCTGGTATAGATGATATTAGTTCATGATGTACATTTTAAAACCATGGATAAAATCCTGAAACAATTAAGATATCAGCCTCTATAATAAAAATTATACTTATATATATATATTTACTAGAAAGCCAGGCGGTCATACAAAATCAACGGTGTTCTAGATATATTATAAATTGTAATTAAAATGATTTGTGCAAAAATGTCTGCTAATTTAAACTGAATCACCCAGGGCAGGCGACGAGGACGCCCCTTTGCTTACTGCACCGCAGGGTTTCCGCCTTCTACTTGCTTAATTGCTTAAAGTAGAGTGCAGTGAAGGAAACCACTGGTGGTATATTTCTTAAGAGCTTAATAAATAAAGGTGATTTAAATAATGAAATATTAATTTACATGTCAAAGATCTTTTTGTACATAACATTTCTTGTGTAGATCTTTCCATCATTTTTAAGCTCACCTTGCAGAGGACCATCAGTTATTTTTAATTTTACATCCGTTCTTTCACGAACTCTTGAACAGGCAACATAAAGTTGACTGTGTCCAAATGCAGGCTCAGGTAAAAAAATGCCAACATGCTTAACCTTTTAAAGGGCACGTCAATTTTTTAACCTCCGAAAAAATGCTAATTTCTCTACACCAAAAGCTATAATCGTAAGTTCTAGTGTTTCCTTTCTATTCTAAAAGGCAACATCACCCCATGAATGCTCAATATTTTGCAGTTATGAAATTAATATACCTCGTTCTAAGGTATCATGTTTGAAGACTGATAAATTCTATTGGAGGGAAAGAAAAAATTCAAAATCTGTAAATAGTATATGACATACACATGCTGAACCTTTTATATTTACTGCATTTCAATCGAAACTGATAATTAAAAGAAGATTATGTATACGTTTTTAATACCAATATATAATGTATACCGGCGTCTCTGCTGAGGGTACGTTGCCAATAGATGGCAGCACCAGGCTTCTCCTTCTCTACTGTGTGAGATGACAGCATTTCTTTACATTATAACAGTTTATGATGTAATAATTTGTTTATGATTAACTTACAAGTTGTTTAGAATTCAGTATTATGTTCATGAAGGGATGGGGAGTTTACTGACCCTGCACTAGGACTGAATACAAGTATATTTGTTTCTTTTTATTCTTTTTTTTACTCCACTTGAGTTTCATTCGTCTGCATTTAGCTAAAATTTTAGCTTCAGCACTTCACCCTTCCCAAGAGAAAGACTCATCGAATTCAAAATTGCCGTCTGGGGTCAAAATTTTACACAATTGTAGGGGTTAAATGTGGCATGTTAACCCCGAAAAGACACCCGTTGCTTCGTGTTTTCCAGAATCCTACAATCCAATGAAAATGAAAGGGGGTGATTGATAACTGATTTGTCATTCGGGAGTTACACCTTCTTCCCTTTGTGTGGTGTGATAAGATCACACAAAGAGAAAGCTTAGTTAAAAATACGGGAAATGGAAGTGCACTTAAGGTTCATCTCTTAGTGTAATCTCAAAAACTGGTGATTTGAAAGCATGCTTTTATTCTTATCATCTTTGTTAATTTCTGATAAAAGACTAGGGAAGGCAAGAGAAATTTAGGGTTAGGTTACAAATAGTTTCAGATGCAAACCAGAATTTATCCAAAAGTTGAAAAGGAGCCTCTAGGAGGCCAAAGGGGTTGAAAATCGAAATACGAGCTTTGAGGAGTATAAAATAATAAATTTGTTTAACAGCGGTTCTTCCTGAACAAAAAGATATATTACAACCGATATTTAAAAAAATTAAAAAGTGGCCCTTACCATCCTCGATAATCTAAAGTGCGTGTGTGGCGAAGGGCGATTCTTGGTATCATAGCATGAACCATGGTTTTTTTACATATGATAATATGTAAGCGTAAAATATGACTTCAAAAATGCAACATACTTTTTCATCCGTGTCCTAGTGTT